GCCTAGGGAAGATAGGCAACTGAGGATGGCTTTATCAGCTGGGGCACACTCCTAGTCAGCACTTTCTTTTTTGTCAATGAAAGCAGTAGCACAGATATGCTCTGGCCATACTCCGAAACAGGGCCTCATGGAAATAAGTGTTGTAAATTCAAGATACGTGCAGGATTGTTATTGTTTTTTCTGTAGCCTTTTGTCAGGTGATAGACTCCCAGCCAGCTTTTGCATAAGGGCTGGAGCTCCGAGGCATTACTGTTGTAAACATGGCGCTTTCTTTTCACTGCTTGAAGTCCTGCTTTTCCTTTCAGGAAAATGATAGGAATAAACAAGTTTATGTAGAATAATCCAGTGAGGATTTATCACAGAGTGTATTTCTTTGTATATATATGCATCCTGAATCTGAGCTGCAAGGGCAGTGCCTGCCTGGTAGCCAAGTTACCTTAGGAGAGATGCCCCAGCCAAGCTTGAGCAGGGTGAGAAATACAAGATGGCTAAAAACCTCTGAAAAGAGATTGTACCTGCGTGGATGGATTGTCTCCTCTTTGAGTCCAAATAGTCTGTAAGTCAGGGGCATCGATCTACTTGGTGGTCAGGTGGACCACCTAGAGCCCCTCCTGCTTCCATACAGACCCCTGACTGCTGTGGGGGAAGCTGCCCCTCACCAGCCCGGGGGAGCTGGCACAGGGGCTGGGGGGCAGGGGAGCTCAGTGGCACGGGGGCTTGGTGACACAGCATGCGTGTCTGTGCATGTGCAGCTGGCTGCACACACTGTCACCTCACTGACAGTGTCAGCCTGCAGAAGTCAGCCAGGTCTCAATCCTGTCTTTCCACGAGCTTTTTTCATTACTTATCCTGAAAAAGGGAGCATCAGGGATTTTTTTTTTTCCAAAGGAGAGACCCTGTGTACAATTAAAACTTGTTTCTGGTAAACCTCATTCCAGGAAAGATGAGCTTTTAACAAAAGGCTTTTGACAGCTGCAGGGTATTTCATTTTTTTAATGCCGAATGAAAAATCAATACATTTTTCTAGGTTATACATATTCAGAACAGGCTTGATATTTCCATTATAATGGAAAATGGGTGTCTGCACATCTCGCCTGTCAGAGCTGCACCACCGCATTTTCCAAGCCACTGCTAAATATTTCAAACCTGATTTGATTGTGGTTCATGACAGCTAATGTTTCTCAGCTCTTGAGCCTGCCGGAGGGTGGGGAGGCAAGCGCACGCGTTTTCTCTCCTATCCTTACAATTCCACCACCCCTGAAATGCCCCTTATCCCTTTGGATAAGAGATCTGGGTTTGTTAAGGAAAATTCAGCTGAGAGGAGAGGTGAGAGGTCTTGGGCTGTTTGAGCTGGCATCGATCCAGTCAGGATTTGCTGGCTTCTCCAACCCTCAAGCTCTGGGTTTTGAGAGGAGCAGGAACGTGGCAGCGCGGTCCTGTGCGACGGCAGGCAGGGATTCGGGCGCGTTTTCAGTGTGTAACTGAGTCAGAGATGCCCTGGCAGCCGCAGATGGCAGATACTCATGATTTTCAGACTCTTCTCTCTCTCTTCCTCCCCCTCCCCCTTAGTGAATGTTTTAATTTTAATTTAAAGCTAAATGCCACTATCTAAAATAGCGTATTCACAAAGGAAGAAAAGACTCTTCCTAAGGTTTTGCATGGGGCGGATTTCATGCAATGGAGGAGCAGGTTCCCTGGGCTCCAGGTGCCCTGCAGTTACACTTGCTTCCTCTTGGTGTTGACCTGAACCCCAGTGGTTGGAAAATTCCTTTTAAGATTTATTAATAGAGCATCATGGCATCATGGATGGCACTCTTGCATGGAGACCCATGAGCAGGTTGTGGTATTTGTAATTTCAATGAGGCTTGGTCCCCTCCATGCAAATCCCACATCTTGTTGCACCTGCCCCCATGGGCTCCCCACAAAGGATGGAGTGCACTTCCCCTTCTTAGAATTTCTGGAAACCAAAGGCACCTGCCTCCTCTGTGCATGAGCTGCAATAGTGTCTCTGGCCTTCAGAGCCCCTGCATTGGGTTCCCAGGTCGAGTCAACCCCTTGTCCTCTTACAGAATATCTTTGTGGCAGAGCTCCACACCTCTGGGTTCAGTGTCCCAACACACTCTCCCAAGGTCCTGCTCAGAGTCCACGACTGGCAGAGACAGCCAATACAAGTGCTGAAGCAGTGCAGGGACTTCTCACCCTCTGGAGGATACCAGAGCCTTTCCCAGCTGGTTTGGAGTTTCCCTGGGCAGATGGGTCTCATGCTTTGCTCCCTTCCCATCCTGCTTTCAAAAAAGTTCTTCAGAAAGATCAGCTCAGACCAGAGGGGGTCAGAAGGGGGTCTGGAGCACAGGGAGGCTCTTTGCAGCCTCCCTGCCCAGCACAGAGGTGTCTGAGCCAAGGACACAGGTCTCCAAGAGGAGCGGTTCCCACGGGCGCTTGGTGCGAGGGGCCGCGCGGTGCCTGCCAGGGCTGCAGGGCTCACTGCTTGTAGACTTGTTTTTTAATCGTTTTGTACCATTATTGGTATTCATAGCTCACATTTTTCCGGTTACTGTCAGCCTGGGCTTTCATCCATTTTAAAGAGATATTTTTTCCCCTGTTGATGATGATGATGATGATGATGGTATAAAGACAGATGGTGTAACTGCTTATGAATGTCCTGTTTTATTCCTCTCGAACCAGACAGTGCACTTGCAGACGTGTATTATTTCCACATGCTCAGGTTAGAGCCCAGACAACGTCTGAGCCCGGCAGCCGGCTCGCCCTTCCTCTTCCTCCCATGCCGATGCTGACACCTCCGGGTGGCAGCCGGGAGTGGCGGCGGCCGGGGCGGCCT